ACGGACAAATTGTCCATAGCTAAAGCTCAACTTTTAACTATAGACAAATTGTCCGTAGCTAAAGCTGAACTTCTGCTTTTGTAACATATGGCCACAGATACATTGCAACCGTGGTTATAAATATCTTTTAGCCACGGACAGAATAACTTTTAACCACGGACAAATTGTCCGTAGTTAAAATTCAACTTTTTGCCACGAACATGAAAATGTCCGTGATTATATTCTATGTTTTAGCTACGGTTTTTTTATCGTAACTAAAGTGCCGTAGCTCTAACCCCATTTTCCTGTAGTGCTGGAGCAAACCAGCAAACTCAGATAGCTTTGTTTGTTCATTTTTTTCCAAGTTTTGGAATAATAAGACTATAAGAGTAGCATTTGGCAATGCGTGACTCTTATCCTGATCTTACCTGGGCATGGATCGGAACATTGGACCCATGACCCAGTGATCAGAACAGTTTTGTGTCTATTCCGAGTCCAGAATATTGGTAGGAGCTTTCGGAGCTACAGAGTTCTTGCCGGCTGCTTTCATGACTTTTCATAAATAGCTGGTTGTCAATAATCCCTTCCATTGAAAACGCAATCAGACACAATCTAGTTTCAGCAGCAACTAGTTTTTTATTTTGATATCGTACAACGTTACTGAATCTAAAATCATTTAATTACATTAATATATAATCATTTAATTACATTAAAACAAGATAACTAAAAAATAGAATCAAATACCCGTGAAGAGTGAAGACCCCATCTCCCATTGCAGGACAGAGATGAGAAAAGCGTGCGTCAGGTAGTTAACAATGTTGAACTTCTAAACCTGCTGTGATTAGGGATGTCAACGGCCCAATAAGACATAATAAATTGGACCAGTTTAGGCTTAATGATCGAAAGTATTTATTGGATTGAATTAGATTGAATCCGATTCATCTATAATGAATTTATATTAGATTGGGTTGAATTTTACCAATACCTGATCTATTCATACAAGATAAGAATACAAATGTCGGTTGACTAGGTTTGTATTGGAATCAATCTAAATTAAAACCAATTTAAACAAATTGAATCAGTGTTTTAAAACCTAATCCGGAAATGGAACCATCTTTCCCTCCGGATCATGGATCAACGGTCCAACCATCTGGATCGATGGTTCAACATGCAATTATGTTATAACCATTAGATTAGGAACATTGAATATCATCCTCTCGATCTAGCTAGGTTTGCTGAATATATAAGAAAAACATGAGGGGAAGAGAAGGGAGATCGAAGGGAGAAAGAGATTAACAAAGGTGGGAGGGAGGAAGGCCACAGCCAGAAGCTAACAGAATGGCTTCTTCGATAGTTACAATTGTAGTAGGACAACACCTCGTATCTTCATGGAGCAGGAGCAAAGGACAAAAGAGAGAAGCAGCAACAGCCAAGTATCTTCATGCTTAGAGACATTTCTGCCCAACTCACGCCGGCAACACCCCTCGTATTCTATCGGTAGTGACAACAAATCTACAGTGGTGGGCAAATATAATTATTAGATTATTATGAATACAGCCATCTTCTTAAAAGTGTTTTTATAAAAGTATTTTCGTAAATGTGTTTTTATTAAAGTGCTTTCATAACATTGCTTTTGTAAAAATACTTTTATAAAAGTACTTCTGTAAAATTACTTTTATAAAAATACTTTCATAAAAGTGTTTTTATTAAAGTGCTCTCATAAAAGTACATTTATAAAAGTGCTTTCATAAAAGTGTCTTCACAAAAGTACTTCCATAAGAGTGTTTTCGTAAAATTTAAAACAAAATGGACAAAATAGTTACAAACGTTTATTTAAGTGCTTATTGGAGAAAAAGACTAACCAAACTCCTAATATGAAATAAGTGCTTGTCTTTTAAAATAAGCACTTGAAAAAGTTGGGTGTCGATGCAAATAAGTGTTTATTTTAATAAGCACTTATTTTTAACATAAGCACTTAGACATCATGTTTTGGGCTGAATAGACCACAACCCGCAAACAGTTCAAGCAGTTTACCGGTTAACTGCCCAAGTCAACGGTTTTCTCTCAAATATCGGGTTTAGGATGAAACGGACTTGCTTTTTTGCCTGGGTGACGGTTTGAATGGTTAAATTGGGCAGGTCAATGATGGGTTGAAAAAACTTGGATTGAATGATCTAGACATTGACTTGGGCTTAGTCCAAAATTGTCCAAAGTATTCATCAGATTGGATTGGACCTGGTCCATCTATCATGGACTCATATTGGAGTGAACAACATTGAGTTGGACATGGTCCATCTAACGGACTTGCTTTTTTGTTCTCTTCTCTCAAAAAAAAATAATATTAATAATAATAATCTGCTCTAAATTAGTTGGAGAGAAGAATAGCGAAGTAGTTGAGGTATATCCAGTAATTTGGTATATACAAAAATGTTCCCTAACCGTCCAAAATCAATTTGGACGGATTGGATGGACCAATAAGACATATTGGATTGGATCAATCCGGTCCAAAATATTTATTAGATTGAACTGGACCTGGTCTGTCCATCATAAATTTATATTGGATTGGATTGGATTAAGCCAATATCTGGTCCATTGATATAAGATAAGAATATAAGTGTCAATGGATCGGGTTTGGGTTAAAACCAGTCTAAATTAAAACGAATTTGAACAAATTGAATAATCCAAACATTGAATTAGACCGATCTAAAATGGTCCAAAATATTCATTGAACTGGACTGAACCAGGTCCATTTGTAATGGACTTACATTGGACTGGATTGGATTGGACCAAATCCAGTCCAATTAACACCCCTAAATTTACAATATACGATAGTGAGAATTCTGGGATGGGCTTAGATTTAAGGCCAATTTATTAAATGCGTATGGCCTGGGCCTGGGCCTGGATTATAAGGCCCAATAAGATATGATGTTATAAACAGACATGATGGATCTGAATTGAGGTTATTATGATCTGCGGTTAATATCATAGATTAGGCTTCCAAACCAATTAACCAATATGTAAAGCTATTAAGAATCATGTCTTGTTTGAGATGGACAAGACTGAAAGAGAAATTGGAGTACAGGAAAAATTAGCTAGGTGGAAAATTCGTACTTAAATTCTCGTACCCGAATTTGAAACCAGATCCAAACTCGATCATTATGATCGGGAGTCGGGACGCATACTGCAGACCCAGAACCCCTATAATTGGACCGGTATGGTTTGAATCTGTTGGGTATGCCCGATCCATTAACATCCCTAGAGTTGAAAAGGAAATTTTAAAACCTTTTTAAAAAAGTTGTGACTTGAACATAAAATCTAAAGCTCAAATTAATTAACCTTGGCCTCCAAAATCATTCTCATATTTGTTACGTAGATTTACAGTGACGTCTGGATTTTCTACAAATACATACGTGTATAAAAAACCCACATATGGATCTCATAATTAGGGGTGTCAATTGGAGTGGATTTAGTCCAATTCGATCCAGTCTAATGTGAGTCCATTACAAATGGACCCGGTCCAATTCAGTCCAATGAATATTTTGGACTATTTTGGACTGGTCTAGAGACTGTTCAGTCTGTTCAAATTCTTGTTAATTTAGATTGGTTTCAAGTTCAACTCAAACCTGGTCTATTGACACCTATGTTTTTATTTTCTATCAATGGACAAGATATTGGCTCTATCCAATATGTTGTATTGGTCCATCCAGTTCGTACGTCCAAATTCAATGTCTTATTGGTCTATCAAATTCGTCCAAATTGATTTTGATTTGAATGGAGTCCAACCCAAAATAGGTCCACTGACACCCCTACCAATACTGGCATATTCATTCATGATTGATTAAGAGCAGGTAGGGGTGTCCACGGTTTGGTTAACCGAACCAGGGTACTTTTTTGTAAACCAAGCCAGTGGTACCGGTTTTTCCAATTTTCCAAACCGATCTGTCGGTTTTGATTTTTGACCGATACTGTTCTTCGGTTTTTTGGTTTTTTATATTTATAATATATTATACAAATATATTTATAATATTATATAATAAATAATAAATGATATATAATATATTATAAATATTTGAAATATATATAATATATATAATATATTTATAAATAGATCATTATAGATATAATATAAGTATATATTTATATATATAATAAATATATTTATATATAATATATAAAAAATATGTAACATATATTAAAAATATATATATCAGTCAGTTTAATTAACCGTCAATTTTTTTATAGGTTAATCAAAAACCGAACCGATCCTTCAATTTTCTCCATTCGATTCGATTTTTCGGTTTCCCCTAAGAACAGGTCAAGAATGATATATTTAGATAGATATATGGTAAGACACAGAATTACATAATAACACATATGAATATGGCATAATACCATATTTGATCATCAATTCTTTTAGTTAAGCTGTATTAATCAAATGATGCCTTTTCGTTGGTTTTGATTTTTTTTTATTACCTGGTTATATATATTAATTCTCGTTTAATATATGGACTCTAAATGTGAGCCCACATCTTGGGACATCAGTGGGTTGGAATTGGATTAAGTGGTAAACCCTCATGGAGTCATGGGTTAGCCTTAATCGGGTTTTAGGTTTGGGTTGAGGTGAATCCATGTTAAACGGGATTTATTGACATTAATTGCAGCATTGAGATATATAACTGTATACATAGACTTGATTGGGTACAGGTGTATATGTACTGGACGGGACGGGTCAGGTCAAATTTGATACCCTTCTTTATTTAGCCGGGTCAGATAGGAATTACTAAAAACCAGATTTGGGTTGAGCTAAACCTGACCAATTGACCCATTTTGCAGCAGCATCATGGGCACTTAAATCATTTGTCATTATTCATTGACCCATTGTGTATGTTTGATGGCAAAGCTAGGATACAGTCGTGGATGAGCTTTCAAGCAAAACAAGATTGTTAATTGTTTCTCAATCAACCTCCGACCTTGATTAAAAGACATTCTCTCACACCAGTACACCACCAACCAAAGGGCAAAAGATGACTCCTCCCTTCGCCATCTTCGTTCTCTTTTCTCTCTCTTTCTTTCTGTGTTGCTGCTTCAATGGTGCAATTGCTGCCGATCTCATTCAGGAAACTTGCAAAAAATCAGCACAGAAAGACCCAAACATCAACTACAAATTCTGTGTGACCTCCCTCGAAGCTGTTCCCAAAAGCCACAACGCGATGAGTCTCAAATCACTTGCCCGCATTTCAATCAAGCTGGCCAAAACCAACGCCACTCGCACCAGATCATATGTTAAAAAGCTCTCGAAGAGCAAAACTCTCAACCCTCGCGATAAGCCTCCCTTGACGGATTGCTTGGAGCTGTACTCAGATGCTGTCGACTCGCTAAAAGCTGCGGTCAAGGCTTTCAAATCAAAGGATTATTCAAAGGCCAACGTAGAGGTGAGCTCCGCCATGGATGCACCTTCAACCTGTGAGGAAGGTTTTCAGGAGACCAAAGGTGGGGTCTCTCCATTGACGAAGAGAAATAAAGATATGTTTCAGTTATGTGCAATAGCACTATCTATCATTAACATGGTCAGTAAGGAATTGACTTTGAAAGAGGAGTTATAAGAGATACTATTAGTAATGTTTGGTTTGTGATCTGGGTTTTTCCTTTTGCTTCTCAAAAATTGTTTGTATACCAACGAAGGAAATAACATACTTCTTCGTGAATTCATCATTTATATAGGGTTTGAGATTGTATGACAATGATGATTTATATGTTTCCTTAATTTTGGTTCATTTAGTTGTTTGAGAATTTCAGATATGTATGAAAACCCTTTGGTATTCCAAAAATCATAATTTGATTTTTTTTTCCTGTAGCTATGTCAATTTTTTGAGGTTATAAATTCTCATAATGATTACTGAACCCAGAAAAAAGAATTGATGTTAGCAATTTTATTCATAAATTCAAACCTAATACTGATTCTTAAAATCATAAAATTCATCTAAATTAATTCTCTAAATGCATGCCAAACACAGTTAGAGGGTTTGTGGCCCCCTAAATATATTTTATTATTGCAAAATATATTGACTGAGGGGCCCTAAATGATCGCAAGAAGGTAAAATGGAAAAATAAGTGAGGGTTTGTGGCTCCATAACTTGCCAGTTGTTCCTTATGACAAGAATAATCTGTATATCTTTACTTTCCCTCGGCTGATCATCAAAAAAGGACCCATAGATACAGGTGAGACCGTGAGATGGGACAGTTGGCAAGTAGGGGTGTCAATGGACCGATTTTGGGTTGGACTCATTCAAATCGAAACCAAATTAGAGGGATTGGATAGATCAATAAGACGTATTGAATTGGACATGCAGTCCAGATTTAATGGTCCAAAATATTTATTGGACTGGATTGGAGCTGGTCCATCTGTAATGGATTTACAGTGGATTGGGTGGGATTGAATCAATATCTCATTCATTGATAGAAGACGAGAGAACACAGGTGTCAATGGACCTGATTTGGGTTTGAACCAATCTAAATAACAACCAATTTGAACAGATTGGACTGGTCCAAAATATTTATTGGATTGGATTAGACCTGGTTCATCTGTAATGGATTCATATTAGACCAGGTATGTGTTTGGTTCCGTTGACGTTTATTGCATATGAAGCAAAATGAAAGAACTGTTTGGTTTTACCGTTTATCAAATAAACCGTGATTCATCTACTTGGCTAGCAATTTAGGCTTTATAGAGTGCAAAACCTTACATTTTGTATTACTTTATATGCATTTGTACTATACATATTTGTATTTGTACTCCTTTCAAACTGAGTCTTATAAATTATAAAATGGTGGGTGGGGTTCGATTGAGAGATATATGATCCAATCACAACAGTTTCCCTATTCATCTTCTCTCTGTTTATTTATTTAGCTTTTTTTCTTCTTTGCTTTCCTTTTTTCATTGCTATGTAAATGGAAAAACAATTCTTCAAATAATCTGTTTTACATATACACATACATACATATACATGAATATGAATGTACTATTAACTCTTTATTGGTAGAGGTGATCATTTTCAATCTGACCTCTGTAGGGCTGCAAACGGATCAGACCAGATTCGGTAAAGGCATATCCAATCCGATCCGTTAAAAAATTCAACTGATCCGAATCCAATAAGGATTCGTCGGATTTTCAAAAGCATGATTGGAATTTGAATTCGAACATATTATCCGATATCCGATTTGAATCCGATTCTATTAGAATTATATTTATAATATGTAATATAAATTATATTATATTATTATATAATATAATATATTAAAATATATAATATATAATATTTCATAATTAATGGATCAGGTCGGGTCACAGCGGACCGGATCAAACAATGTCCGAATCCAATCCATTAATTTAACCGATCAGCTTTTCTGATCCGGTCTGATTTATTAGGTTCAAGAGGGAGATCCGAATTTGCTTCTTTACGGATTGATCGGTATCGGATTCGAATCGGATTGATCCATTTATTTGCAGCCCTAAAAGTCCGGTCGGACCCAGCCCAAAACAATGTAAAATGCTAACTTCGACCTATCGGAGTTGCACCCCTGGTCATGGTTTGAGTGAGAGCCGCTAAAAAAGATTAGGCTGAGTACAAATGCAAATATGTAGAGAGTGCAAAACATATGTATTTACGTTGTACAAATTTGCATTTGCACTGCTTCCAAACTGAGCCTTAGAGAATTTTTAATTTAACTATGCTGAAAATTTGACCTTAACATGTGCCATTTTTAGATAGCAGAGTTTATAAGGTTTAATTAACATGGGTTAAAACGGTTAAGAAAGAAGATTTATTGATGATAGGGCTCCACTATTTACTCTTGAAAACTGAAGTTTGTTGAGAGATTTGTGGAAGAAGCCAATCCCATGAATTCTTATTTAAACCAACCAAGAAAGAGAACAACTCACAGTCCCCATTAATATTAGGTCGCAGTAACCATGAGCAACCGATTCTTCTCCGAGTTCTCTCTTCCTCTCTTTTTCTTTACCTTCTCTCTTATCTTTTTGCATGTTTCAAATGCAAAATCCCACAAGGGACGTGCCCTCATCGAAGAAACCTGCAAACAATACTCAGAGAGCCCAGGGGTACCAGATGGATCCCAGAAGTTCTGTCTCACTACTCTAGAATCCGTAAAAAAGAGCTACAAGGCGAGTTTCAAAGGACTGGGCTTAATCTCCCTGGAGCTAACCAAGACAAACATGACGCATGTGAAGGCATACGTGAAGAAGCTTTTGAAGGACAAGAAGAAGTTCAACAAATATGCGAAGATGGCGTTGAAAGACTGCAGAGACCAATACTCAGATGCAATTTACAACATAAAATATGCCAAGATGTTGTTCAAGAAGAAGGATTACGGTGGAGCTAATGCTTATATGTCAGCAGTTCTTGACACCCCATCAGATTGTGAAGAAGGATTCAGTGAGAACAGTAGGGCAGGAGGGTCTCCTTTGACAAAACAGAATGATATTCTCAACAAGTTGGCTGGTTTAGCTATTTGGTTTACTGCTGTGATTCGATAGCAATTTAATATCTCTGTTTTTGTTTTTGTTTTTTTGATTTTCCTTTGGGTGAGTGTTTTCATGGTTGGATTCAGCATTGGAGGTAGGTGATTAGTGAGTTTTTTTTTTTCTTTATTTTTTTATAACTTGATAATCTCTATCTTAGTAAACAATAATTATGAATATGAATAGATTTTAGGAAATATTCTTTGAAGGGCACTTTGGTTCAAATCAGCTCTTTTTTCACATTAAAAGGTTGATAAAGCCATAAAGGTATGAACAAGTTACAGAGGTTGCTTTAACAGTTGGAAAGATAAAGTTCGGATTTCTTGAAATCTTAACAAATTCGCAACCCAACCCAACCCAACCCAAGTCGCACCCTTCTACTCTAGGCCTAATAGCCTATAATGAAAGAAATGGAATGTTATAAAGAGAGAAAAATGAGAGCAAAAGAAAGCTTTAGGCAGATCTCCTACCCACATTCCATTATAGCCGCACATCAGGAACATCTCCCTTGTCATTCATGAAGTGATATTTCCAACATGCAGCTGTAGTGTGTTGTGAAAAAAAAAAGAAAAAAAAAATGGGGCTCATCAGCAGAATGGCATGGGAACTCTTTGATGAGAAGTGGAGAATCAATAAATCCCATCAACCCAGACCGACTCACAGAGAATAGGGTGCAATAAGTTATGTTCAAATCTTGATGCTGTCTTAACCAATTTCTTATTAATAGATGACAGATCCCAAGTTTTAGCAGAGTTTACAGGTACTTAACAGCAGAGAAGAGTCCCTGCTAGTGACTCTTCAAACAGCAAGTTAGTTGAGAGATTTGTGGGAGAAGTCAATTTGCACGAATCCTTATTTAAAATAGAAACAAAGAAAACAAACAAAGTTCACAACTCAGAGTCCCTGTTAATTAGATTGTTGAAGTAAACATGAGCCAACTTCTGTTCTCTCCCACTCTATTTCTCCTTGTTTTCAATCGGGCTCTCTTCTTGCATGGTGATAAAGAAAAACCTGAAAAGGGTCTTGCCTTAATCGAACAAACCTGCAAACAATACTCAGAGTACCCAGATGAACCAAAGGAGTCCTACAAATTCTGTCTTGCTGCTCTAGAATCTGTTCCACGTAGCTACACCACCAGCTTCAGAAGACTGGGTTTGATCTCCATAAGGCATACCAGGGCATAAGTGAAGAAGCTTCTCAAGGAATAGAAGTTCAATAAGTATGCCAGGAATGCCTTGAACGACTGCATAGAACAATACTTAGATGCCCTTTATTACATATGCACTACAAAGTGCATAAAATCTGTTATTATATATGCACTACAAAGTACAAACAATATCGTTTTGGGAGAGCTCTTTCTGATATGACACCAGTCTTTGACACCCCATCAGAATATGAAGATGAGTTCATAGAAGACAGAAGAACAGGAGGATCCCCTTGACAAAACAGAATGACATTGCAGAAAAGTTGGCTGATTTAGCTCTTTGGCTTGTTTATACGCTTAATAACTAGCAATTTATTAGTAGCTCATTTAATATTGGTTGGTTAATTTTGTGTCTTTGTTTAGGAGAACAATTTTTGAATTAATTCATGAGTTGTTTATCAGTAATGATAGAGAGGTAATTAGTGAGTCGGTTGTATTTTCTGTTCTTTTCTTTAATTCATGATTAAAGAATAGTCATCATTTTGTTTATATTTAATTTTTTGGATAGATTACATAGGTACCTTGTACTTTAGGGGTAGTGATAGATAGGTACCTAATCTTTTAATTGCAATACTTGATACCATGAACTCTTAAAATAGACACTTGGGTCCATCCATTAGTATTCCATCAGTTAAATATTATATAATGTCAAAAATAACCTTCTCATGTATTTTTTAGTTTATTCTACAGAGTAAAATTATCATCGGAGAATGCCATTGTTGCTGCCAAGGATGAGGCCAAGGGCAACAGGGTAATTCCGCTGACGTCTGAGGCCAATGTGTCCAATCTACAAGTAGAAGAAGAGCACACATCAAAGGCCCCAGGTGTTATCCCAAGGGCAAAGACTTCGACGGTCAAGTTAGTCAAGTGCTTAAAGAGGGGTCGGGCTAGGCTTGAGACGAGGGCTCAAAGCTTAGTCCTCAAGGGCTCAAACAAGGTCTCTAGAAAGCATGAATGCAGGAGAGGAATAGTGAGCCAGAGATCTATACCTTGAGTTGGGCAACCCCTTTTATAGTTAACCTTTCCATGGAGTTGTTGGAGGCAGTTATGGATGGATGGCCAGGATCCCATTCGGTCGATGCCATGTGGCACAATCCGAGGCGTGCCACATGCACTTATATCAGCCATCATTAAAAAATTTGAATATGTTATTTGCTATCCATATGAGAATGTCATCGTGGGGAGACATTTGGTTACCTGAAATTGATCTCAAAAATACATGAAATGGGTATTTTTTGGCATTATGCAATGTTTAACTAATTGAATACTAGCGGATGGACCCCAAGTGTCTATTTTTAAGACTTTAGGGTACTCAAGTGTTGCAATTGAAAGTTCAAAGTACCTATCTGTCACTACCCCTAAAGTATAGGGTACCTATCTATAATTTACCCTAATCTTTTTATTGGAAACAATGAGTTTCATTAAAAATAGTAATTAATCATCATACACTATCAACCACTCAAAAAATGAGTGTTGACCCCAATCAACAATATGGCCCAAGAAAAGTTCTCCCCGAAGACCCCCTGCTTTCCAAACTATCAATCACAGAGTTGGTTGACCTCCTTACCCATTTGAAAATTACCCCAACCTCCCTTGCTAAGCAAAGTATTTCTAGATGTGTAAAACAGGTCATGTTGGGCTGGCACAGTATGGCTTGCATGCGGCCCACGGGCATCTTGGGTCGTGCCTCCTTCCCTTGGGATATTTTGGGGGGTTGGCCTAGCATGGCCCATGGCCCAAGCCCGCACGGGCCCATGTCGTGCCATGCTAGGCCATAGGCCGGGCTGGTCCGTAGGCCTAACTGTGGACCAGGCCAAAGCTATTTATTTAAAAGAATTGAAAAGAAAACTTAAAATTTTAAATTTTATATGAATTTTGATGTATACAATTGTTTATAAATATAATAATTAAATAAATTAGTATAATAAAATTGAAAACAATTGTTTATTTTAATAATATATTATATACTATATATTACTATATAATTATAATTTATATAATATTATATATATTATGTATAAATATATATATGGGCCATGTCGGGCCAGGCCGAGGCACAGGCCAAGTTGTGCCAGCCCATGGGCCACGGGCAGCATGGCACGACAGTGCGGGCTGTGCTGGCTCGACATATCGACCTAAAACCCCGAACCCGGCACGACCCATACAATCATGCTGTGATGCGACACAACCCATTGACCATCGGGTCAGGCCGACTCAAAATCGTGTCGGGTCGTAGGCTACACAGCCTGATTTACACCTCTAAGTATTTCCCTTATTTGTTGTCTAAAAGTCCATAGACCCAAATTTTTGTCTATAGTCATCTTATTAACAATTTAGAATCTCCCTCTACCTCAAAGTTCTTAAATCCCCATTGTTGGGCCAATCTCAAGCCTTGTAATAGAGCCATAATTTCAATTCTTAGAGACTCTCCCACACCTATGGGACCAGAATATAATGCCATCAATCTGCCCTCCCCATCCTTGTTTTATATTTAATTGGATAAGAACTTATTATCTACAATAAGCCCTAATTTCTTTGGTGAAAACCTGTTAACCCTATTGAAGACATTTGAAATAGTAATCTCTCCAATCAAAACAATAAGAATATATAAAAGAGAGTTTTGAACTTGGGTCCCTTCTCTTGGCTAGAGCACCATTCAGACTCAAGTTAAACAAAGGGAAAACTCACGAATTTGTTTATGGTTATCTTTTAAAACACACACACATATAATCCTTTTTATTTTATTTTATATTTTTATTTTTTAAATTTATATTGTTGAGGGGGAGAGGTAGGGGTGGACCAAATATGACTTGGGTGAAAATAATAAAAAGTAATATAAGCACCCATGGATGACACAATATAACAGACGAGTGGCGAAACAGAATTTGTATAGCCAACCCCATATAATTGCGACAATGCTTAGATGATGATGATGATACACATTTATATTTGATCTTATTACTTCTCCAAGCCTAAGACAGTCCTTTAGTTTCATGAGAAAAGTAGACAAGAAAAATCTAGTTTGTCACAAAAAATAAGAAAGAAGGAAAATGTTTGAGAGCACCTTATTGATAGTGAAAGCACCTCCATCGTTGCACTTTTCATGAGATTATTAGGTTTCTATGTACATGTAGAAAATGGAATCAACCATGATTGTAGAATTTAATGGGTTTCAGTCTCACCTCAAACAATCAACTCACAAGTTGATGTTTCCAGTGAAATTTCCAAGTTTGTTGACATGATTTAAAGGTTAAACCATTAGTGTAGTAGATAGAGGTCCTCTGCGGAGATGGCTCTCTGCTATTTGGCCACAAAAAGAATGTGAATTCTTTCTGGATTGTAAGGTCACATCTGCTTGTTTGGCCACAAAAAGCAAAATGTAGTTTGTGTAATTGTGAGTTGCGAATATGTAGCAAATTAAGAGCCACTGGAGGGTTCTACAGACCACAGTAAAATGAGCATAATGTATAACAACTAAAATTGGAATAGCTGAATGTAGGGGTGAGAATTCGGTTTGTTCGATTCAAAACCAAATCGAGAAAACCAAAATTTTTACAATCGATCTATCATAGGCTAAAACTGAACCAAAACCAAAATTGGTTGAAACCGATCAAACCGAACCAAAATTTTATTTGGTTATTTTGGTTAAAAACTGAAATAGAAATCCACCCCCAACCAAAACAAACAATCTCTGAAGATGGTTGCAGGTTGCAACCTCTCTCGTTCATGATCTGTCTGCAATCTTCACTCATCACTCTAAACCGATTAGGACTTGGGAGACTTGAATTCTTTGAAAGTTTGAGAGTTTGAGGCTTGGAACTGGAGGAGCTTGAGGAAGAGAAGAAGAAGACGAAGAGGAGAGGGTTAGAGTTTAGTGAGTATAGACTAGATTCTAGAGAGTAGAGATTGACATGCTCAAGAAGAAAAGGACTCTACAGACATTTAGTTAAACTTTATAGTCTTTCACATTTAAGTTTCCTTATATTGGGTTGGGCAGCTTCCAATTTCTATGTTCAATTATAAATAATATTAAAAAATTTATATAACTTTAAAAATAAATCAGATTTTTCAGTTAACCGAAACCGATTAAACTGAACCAATTAACAAAAACCAAAATCCCGATTCTAATTTTCAGTTTTAATCGAATTATGCTCACCCCTAGCTGAATACAACGGTTATGTAATAGGCTGTGAAATCAATGTTAACACTGCACATGGGTCAGAAAATATATATGGCCCACAACCACCCATTTTCTCGCTTAATACTTAGGCCTCATTCGTTTACAAATTTCTCACTTACCCTAGTAAATGTTTCTTAAATAATACATACCCAATAATCATTTTACTCATAAAATGTTGATGTTAAAATGGACAACTTGTCTCATTATGTTTTATAAAGTTTTCCCCCAAGTGGGTAAGTAACTTTTTCACTTATGAAATGGATAAGTTTAATCTAATTAAATGAAATTCTCTTTACCACGGGATCCATTACTTATTGCAAAAAAAAAAAAAAAAACTGTAAAATTGATAAGTGGGAAAGAGATACCCATTGACCAACTTTTTCCCTCTTATTTACCACTAAACGAATAGTCTTATAGCTAACATGAGGCTTAATCATTGATACCACAACCCAGGAGACTGAATTTGTTTTTTTTTTTGTGTCCTATGTATTTTATGCCTAGCATGCGGCGTTGTCATTGGCCAGATAAACATTGTGTTCGGCTATTCCAACTTCACCCTATCACGTTCAATTAATCCAAAGTAACAAGTGAACACTGGAACTAAATTGCAGCACAGCTTAGGGCAGAGCAACAGTAAAAACTATTGATCGAGGTTGAGATGATTGAAACAGGAGTCTTGGGGTTGTGGTCAGTCCAACTGTTCATTGGATGAATTCGCATTGGTACCCCACAATGCGTGCTCCATAGCACATTCCAACCATGTATTGGAAACATCTCCCCATGACAAGTATGAGAGATGTTCCCAATGCAGGTTGAGATGTGCATGTGGGACATGTGTGGGGTGCCAATCTGAACTCTCAAGGAATCACCTAGAGTCCCGGTTGCAAGCATGGATAATGATTCAATTATGAATATCAATGTTTTAAAAATCAAATCGGAATCAGAACCGCTTTGCCCACTAGTTTTTGAGTCAGTAATTTAAAAAATAATTAAAATAAAAAAATAACTAAAAATTACTGATATTCAATTATGAATATCAGTAATTTAAAACCGTCTAATTCAAACAGACAACCTATTCTAAATTTAAAAAATAATTAAAATAAAAAAAATAACTAAAAACCATTGTCCGAGTCAAATGGATTGATGGTTTGACCACCCAGATCAATAGATCCATCACCAAGTCAACAGTTTTTAGCCAAATAACGGGCTAAGGGTGAATCAGAACCAATCTGGACGGTTCCCAGAGAGAACAGTCCGACCGTCCCAGTCACTGATCGATATGACGGCTTTTTCTCTTTTTTTTCTTCTTCTGGATATGATGGTTTTTCCCTTTTTTTTCTTTTCCTGGATATGATAGCTTTTCTAGTACTCATAACACCCAAGACTGACAGAGGGTAGGTGATGTTCTAGAACTGCTAACTTCCTGCTTTATCCTCTTTCGCTGGTGGGAGGCTTACCCAATTTGCAGATTTCTGTCACCTGAATTTGCAAATTTGGAAGAATCTCTCTGTAATTGCCATTCCTCTAGCAGAATTACAGAGTTTCGAGTATTAGCTATCCCCGGAGCCTGGAGGCTGGAACCCATGCTCTCACCCATTATAAACCATATAAGATTTAACTATCACCCTTGTTAGTAAGAAGGATGAATTAAATCAACACCCTATCTGTGTTTGGAAAGTTCTCGGACCTCCCCTCTTTCAGAAAATGTTCATGGCTCTTGATAGTAGTATTGTGAAAATTATAATCATATCGTAAATTATGGTTGAATCAAATGGAATCATGAATTGTACCTTAAATCATGAGATTATTTGTTTTTAAGAAATTTATTAAAATTTGGGTAAAAGACTTAAACCTCCTTTCAAATTTCTCCAAAATACTGAAATCTCCTCTCACATTTTAAAATGGATTAATAATTCCCTTGTCTTAGTTATATCCAATGAAAGCATTAAAAAGCCTCTTTTATCCTTATTAAATCATTAAATTTTCAAAATTATGGAATCGTTTGAAAACATAAAATAGAACATCTACTAGTTTCGATACGACCTTGGTTGAGAGGGGAGGTTTCAGTATTTATGTGAAAATTCAGGGGAAGTTTAAGTCTTTTACCCTTAAAATTTTAAAACATGAATATTAAAAACTTAAATATATAGAAAAGTAAGAAATGATTTAGATGCTTATAATTTAATAATGGATATGGCATTAAAGAACATAATGGCAAAACAGGATTCATGTAGCAGGATCCAGAAGTAAGCCCACCTCAAAGCTACCTGCAGCTAAATTCTGAAGTGGAATCTCTTACAAGGTGAAGATGGTAACATGAAAAGCAGTGCACTAAGGAATTCATGAAAAAAAACTATAGAAAATATGAGATATGTTAAAAGTTTTAGAAATCAAAAAGGAACCAAAGCACCACATATAACTTCTAGATAGGGAAACCATGGAATCCCAACAACTAAGCAGAAAGCAGAGTGGAATGTTTGTTTACACAGAGAAGCATAGAAATTTAAGAAACCTTGCAGTTTTTCAATAACTTTGACCAACAACATCTCTTGCTGAATCAGATGGAAATTATTTTTACCATTACAAAGATCAGATTTTAACCACAGAACAAAGTTAGACAAAAAGCAGCATTTTCTCAACTGTTGTGTTCCAAAGGGAATCTTAAATCATGAAATGAGATCAAAGATAAAAAAAAGGAAATTAACCCGCTCTCCTGAAGAAAACTAGCCAACCATTGGATGATTATAAACGTATTCAATGGCAAGTTTACACGAGTCTATCTTATCTGCCTCCTTATCTGGAATCTCCAGTTTGAACTCCTCTTCTATAGCCATTACAATCTCAACATTGTCCAAGCTATCCAAACCTAAATCCTTTTGGAAATGGACATCAGGAGTCACCTGCAGATATATAATTATGTTAGGAAGAATAAGGCACATAAACCCTAAGCAAATGGCAATGCTGAAAGAAATGGATGGACAATGTGGATAATTGGCAAATGAACCCATTAAGATATAGGCGCAGAAAAACATTGATGAAGAAGCTGAGGCCATTTGTATTAAATGAGATGAATGTGGAGGAATGATCACAATGCAGAGACAGACAGACGTAGATACGGAGGCACATGATATATATGAACTAAAAGCTTTAACTGAAATATGAATCCAAAACAAAATAATACAGCAAATCATGTAAGATGTTCAAAAAATCTACAAATAATAAAACTATATTTCAGACAAAAATTACGGCGGTGAAGAAGATGAACAATAGGCAGCAAGCATACAACACATAAATGTTGAGGTGGAAAGAATAGTATATACTTCTGAGATAACTCAAAAATGGAAAGAAAGAAAAAAAAATAGATTAAGAATATCCAGGAAAAAAAAAGGTGAGTACAGTTTCAGTAAAGGCCTTCAGGCATAATTAAGGAAGGGAAATAGATCGATGAAGGGGGGAAAAACATCTTTTCCCTTTGGCAAGGTTTGATTCACAACCAACAAAAAGAAGAGGAAATCAACGCTTAAAATAGTGAATCAGTGAATACATGAATGGAAGAACAAAAAAAACAAATTTGGTACTTAATAAAGATACAGAAAGCAATATACCGGATCAAAAAGGGAGGAAGGGTGAAATTCCCAAGTAGAAGACAAAGAAAAGTTTAGTTGAAGAAAAGACAAAACAGAGTTTGTAGTGGTAGTTGAAGAGAACCAGATTTTCCAGGGAGCAATCAAGAAACTGTGTTTCGTTCCTGGGAATCAATGTATATGTTGCCTAGTAAGATACAGATCCACTCAAGAAATAAAAGAAAAGCAGTAGGTTTGTTTCAGTTAAAAATTTGCGAGGGAATTTGCAATAAATGCTGAGCTGAATTGCGTCCCCAACAAAACTTAGGGATTACAAATGAACGCAAGGGGATTTCCCTGAGCATTTGAACAAGAACTAAATGTTAAGTAGCAAAGACAACTAATTCCCAGAAAGAAATAAACAACAGATACACCAATGGGAAGGGAGCAAAGTAGAAAAAGAAGATCAAATCAGAAAATGGATGAAGAAAAACTAGGATTACAGGATTTGGGAAGAAGGAACTGACCTTCGAAGGATCAACCTTGGGGAAGCTCTTGACGACGGAGAGAACTCTCTCGATCACTTCTGCCTTGTCGATATGATCATCGTGAGAGGACATAGACCGAATGGAGTTGAAGAGATTCCATGCCTGCATCCTCGATCCATCTAGGGCTAGGGTTCGAGCAGGGACCCGAATGTGGCGAAGAATTGCAGCTCTCAAAGCCATCCTTGTTACCCTCTCTGTCTCTGGCTCGGCTCACTTTCTCATTCACCAAACTAGGCGTTGTCAATATAAAATAGGGTTGTCAATGGATCGGGTCTATCCAACGAACTCGATCCGATTATAAGGCTTCTGATTCAGGATTTTGTAATTCTTGTTTGTCCCAAATCGATTCAGATCCAGAACTGATTATTTTATTAAATATATAACTTTTTATAATTTTTATTATATTTTAAATTTAAAATGATAAATTTGATAGATAATAAATAAAATAATATTAATTTAAAATGTTTAATTTATTAATATATAAATAATTTAGTATTTTTTTATCATTTTTATTAAGATTACATTATCAAATTTTAAATTTTAAATTATTGTTTAAATAAATAAATATAATTTTCAGTATAATCAGATCTATCAGGTCCAAGGCCGATAGACCCGACTATTAACTAGACGGTTCTGGGTGACTGGGTGTATTGATATTGTCGCGATTAATAATCAGTTCTGAACTGATTCTACCTGAACCCGACCCATACCCAACCCGTTGACAGCGCTATCAATAAATTTAGAGAGCAAGGACAGTTTTGGCAATCAGCAAAATACCATCTGACCATCCATCCGAACTGGTTTTTTACACAGTTCAAGCTAAATCAACCGGACAGAACCAGATGTGAAGTAGATGCGTACGTAGTGTTGTACTCGGGTCGGATTTGATCGGATTCAGCTGCATCCGAACCCAATCCAATTTGGGTTTGATATTTTAGATTCTGATTTAATTCGGCTCCATTATATTATCATTGAAATAAAAAAAAAATGAAAAGTTAATTATTTTTAAATTATACAGAAAGAAATAAATACTATTATATTACACATAGTCAGACTCGGAATTTTGTCAGATCAAATAGGGCCAAAACCACATCTAATTAGGTGATGCTGCGCAATCCGGGCATTCCTAGCTAGCTGCTTACTGGCTCCTAGCTGGCAACGGACGGCACCTGAGAAGAAGACGGTGAAGAATTCCCAGGGGACTTGCTCGATGGGAATACTCCGATGCTTAAGTTAGAATGCTGGGAAAAATAGTAAAGAGTGTAAAAAGGCTAAGAGTGTAGGTCGCGCTAGATCACTGAGTGTTCAAGATTAGCTCGAGAGCAAGTAAGATGATTCAAGATCCAAAATCAGATCAGATCCTCTCCCCTTCGACTAAGGGGCTCTTATATAGGCATACTTGTCAAATCGGGTGTAACCGCCACTGGGCTTCTGTCGCAGCCGTTATCTGCCAGGGTTACGCAGGTAACCGTTGCAGGATACTACCCAATCGGGTGAGTGACACGTCCCGGAAAGACAGGCATGCCACCATCTGTCGAGAGACGTGGGTGTAGTCTGTTCAATGGGCAGGGACTGCGCCGTCAGCCTGGAGACATGGCGCAGTCTGACGGGTATGATCTTGTTAGATAGAAGCTTCCTGAGAGCGTCTTGTTACTTAGTCGCGAGCTATCTTGTCGCGTAAAGAGCCATCCTGTCACGAGCTACTTCGTAGCGAACTCCTAGGGGTACTTCAAGGTGACCCTTCTCAAGATTGTCTCCAGGGCAGTCTTTCTGCCTAAGTGTTGGAGCGAGCTGGTTACCCTAGCTCGCGAGCTGGGATAGTCTTGGAGTATTCCCTTTTAGTAGCTCGGGGGACCTTGAGCTCGCGTTGTAGCGAGCTCCCCCTATAGTGAGTTATGACGTAGCGAGCTATCCTGCGGGCTCATTACTTAGCCGCGGTCAGGCTGTGGTGCTGAGTTGTTGTTCGTGCTGAGTCATGTCCACGTGTCATCGTCTCAAGGGGTCGGGTCAAATCACCCTCCATCAATTGCCCCCCACTCCTCGGGCTAAGAGTGCTACCTTAGCGTGAGGAGTTCATGAAGTGTGATGGGTGGATTTGACCGAAGTTCAAACTTGATTGACTGCCTGCATTAAATGTGCACGGGAACCAGGGGATTTCTGACTTTCCGAATGCCGAGAAACGCACCGAAGCGGCTCTTAACTCCGGATGTCATGCAGCCATCATTACCTCATTCATGGGAGACGTGCAGCCAGTCACATTTCGATTTCAGAAGACGTGCGGTCAGCTTGACTACGAACTGGGGGCACAGTGGCTATAAATAGGAGGGCCCCCTAGGCCTCATTTTCTTTCATGCTAACTTGCTTTGTCTTCAGATTCTGAGGTCGCGCATCCATTTAGTCTATCCGAGCTCTTCTCCTATTCACACTGTGTCATCTTTTCCGGTGAGTCTAATCATTCTGTCAATCATGTCTGGGTATCCCTACCACGTTTATCCCCGAGACAGTAACCAGGACGACGCCCCCTCGAGCTCAGGGAGAGCTTGGGAGCAGGCTTCGGAGGCTCGGGGGGCCTCCGGCGAGGTGGCTTCTACTTCTTGGGGCAGAGAGCCCGACACCTTCGGTCCCTCCTCTATGACGATGGAGAGACTTAGATCTCTAGTTCACTATTTTAACCTTCCTGGGGACCTCATCTACAGTCTCCCCTCTAGTAACTTTCCCTAGGAGCATGGTCCCAATGACATAGTGATTTTTCAGGAACAGCTCGAGGTTGGCCTGCGTCTTCCTTTGCACCCTCTAATAGTGGAGGTGTTGAATCATTTCAACCTCACCACTGACCAGCTCCACCCCAACGCCATCCGGAATGTAGTTTGGACTATTTCTCTATGCTATGAGTATTGTCTTCCCCTTGATCTTGATATCTTCTCTACCATTCTCTGCATCAAGAATCTTCTCCCGGAAAGGCGTTCCTACTACTTTTCTCCTCACCGCGGCTTCAAGCTCTTGCACGAGCTGCTGAACAGGGTCCCGACTTGGAAGTGGGATTATTTTGTGGTCCGTAACCCCGAGGGGTGGCCCTTCCCAACTACCTGGAGGGCTGCCATCCAGGATTCGAGGGTTGAGTTGGATCCTGAAGTTCAAAAAATGCTGCAGTCCTGGGCAGCAGTAGGCCTTCATTGTTCAAACTACTTGACCGAGGAAAAGCTTGCGCAGGCTGGCCTGAGTCCGGGTAGGTTGCCCTTTATGTCGCGTAGTGCCTTGTACAAATATATATATATATATATATATACTAGACTAATACCTTGTGGTTTTTTGGCAGCCATCATGTCTGGTGTTGACGCGCGCCGCCGTCTTTCCAGCAACCAGAAGCGTACGGCGAAGAGGTCGCGTCCTGACCGAGCTTCCACTTCTGGGGGCACTGAGTTCAAGTCTGTTGAGCCAGACTTTGTTTCTCCATCGCCTGAGGTTCCACCGGTCCCATCTGAAGGAGTTGCCGGAGAAGGCGGCCTCGAGGAGGTTGAGCTCCCGAGGCAAGGGGTGTTTCCTCCTGGGCCTTCCCACCCATTCCCCTACCCGCAGTTCCTGGTGGGGAACTGGGAGGGTGTCAATGACTACCTCGTGGCTGGGTGGAAGAGCCGAAGGGCGATCTACCACGAGGAGATCGCTAGGTGGGGGAAGATGGAGCCCAAGGCGCTCGTCACTTCTCACTATATGGTGGTAAATGGTCTTTTCTCTTTCTTCTCGTTCTTTCCTTTCTTTTCCTATTTTCTTACCTTAGTCTCTTGTTGGCAGATGAACTCCGCCATCCACGCCATGGCCCTCCAGACCAACATCCACTTCGGCAACGCTTGCAATCAGAGAGGGCCAATGTCCAGAAGCTCCAGGGCGAGCTCGACCAGGCCCAGGAGCTGCTTGCTCGTGACCAGGAGGAGCAGATCGCCAGGCTTTCTGAGGAGAGTGCGCGCTACAGGGAGGAGTCGTTGAGGGTGGCAGCTGAGAGGGAGTTCCTTCGCCAGCAGGTTTGGGACTTGGAGTCTACACTTCTGGACCGAACTCGGAACTTCGACACCATGGTGGAGGCCGAGTGGGCTAAGGCGGTCTGGGACTTCAAGGACTCCCAGGAGTATCACGACCTCCAAGTGGAGTATGG